ATGTGTGTAAAGCACTGCATGTGGAGACACATGTCTATTTTCTGCCACAGTTTTCACTTCGCTCCTCAGGTCATCAAACATCTCCCAGACTCTTGGGGACCTTTTGCACTAGCAGACGTAGTGACCCATGGCATTCGTTGACTCTCCACCTCTGAATGCTATGACTGCCCTTAGTGTGAAGGTCTTATCCTGAAGGACCATGCTGGATGGAAATTCAGACAAGGAAGACTCTCTTTCGTTGGTGAGTTTGTGAAGTACTCATACGGTGTTTATGCGGCAACTCTTGTGAATTCCTCTCTTGTTTTGCTTTTCGTAGGGTCGCCAATTTGGGCAAATGGCTGGGCTCAGGGTCTCCAAAATCCATTAGCTTCGTTGCTTGCTGTGCCCTCCACACATGAGGTTGGGACTTTCCTTCACAAAGTGCGCTAGCAACATCCTTGCGTGCTGCTCCAGACAGAGGATGCTTTGCACACCCTGTGTGGAGCGAGGAAAGGATGTTTTTAAGGAGACACTGGAAGACCATTTGGGCTTTGAACTGGTGGCTCTTTCAGACATTGGGCCTGGAGCTTACCTCCACATTCCTTGCAGTAGCCTTGAATGTCTATGTATTTACTTTTTGACATGGGATAAACCTTTGCCCTTTTTAAATACAAAGGTACAGGTATGTTTCACCCCTTTCCATAATATTTCATTCATGACATGAGTCCAAGTGCCTGGTTTTAATATGTTGTATTTTCTGTTGGCATAGTTGACGCTCTCCGGCATGAACTCTACCCATTTCTCAAATGGCACCAACAGCTGAAAAGTCTGCTCTGATTGAAGTATGCCATCACTGTCACTATGCTGATCGGCTGGTGGCTCATCTTCACTATTTTCAGATGCACTGATGTCACTCAGACCCAAAATGGTCCAGATGTTGTGCCTGTTTTGTTTTACAAAGGTATACAGTGCCTTGGCAGTCATTCTCTCATCAAGTTGATGGCTGAGTTCTGTCCAGATTTGTTCAGCAGGTTTAGCAATTTCCATTTATTAATATAGCCTCTTTTGCTGTTGAGAGGATGGCAATAACAGCATGTGTGGCCACTCCTGGATTTTTTGGCATCAAGTAAAAAAAAAAAAAAAATTAAATCACCTTATGTAAACTGGAGTAATGTTGTTTTTTTTTAAGCCATTTTATTGAAAGGTTCATCTTAATGTTTCACACAATATACAGCTGAACTCTTCCAAAACCTGTTTCAAAATTTTTTAATATTGCTCTGTGTGCATCTGACCTGCTCTAAAACTTTATACATAAGACAATTCATAAGAGAATATTTAAAGTGTTTACTTTTTCAGTTTATTTCTGTGGATTTTGTCATTACTATAATTGAAGCAATGTATACAGTTATATGAAATGCATTCATTTTATTTTTGGACTTTAAAGTGTTTTAATGAATTCTGTACAGTATTTCACATGGAATGCCTAGCAAAAAAAAAGCTAGCAAAATTGTTTAAACATAAAATGTAATTACTTACGTTGATGTTCTTCAGAATATGCAAAGATCCATACTGTAAGGGTACAATTAAAAAACTACCTAAATACGTATTTGAAGTTAAAATGCAGCTGCTTAATTAGTTCTTTGAGGGAAGATGTTCAAATTTTAGCGGGTAAACTTAATGGTTAGCGCCTCCCAGTGGTATAGAGAAAATAAAGCATGTGTTGTAGTGTTAATTAAATAATGACAAATGCTTTGACTATATCAGTTCTTTATTAACAACGTAAACACATTGCATTACATAGCAATATAGGCTGGGCCGCGCCTGCAGATGACAGCACAAGCCAACATAAACGAAGCCAAAAGGATAGACACCATTCTCAGTCAGTTCTGCGCATTTTCGAAAGAGTATGATGACGTCATCGTCTAATAATGCAATTATTAATATCTTAAAAACGATAACAGCACAAACGTAAATTTTTACAGCACAAACCAGCACAAACGTAGCACAAACGAATGACACTATTTTCGTCCATTTTGGAGCATTTTTTAGCAAAATGAGGGGCTGGGTGACCTCAGATTGACCTATAAAAGAATCCTCAATATCTCAAAAACGATAACAGCACAAACAAATATTTTTACAGCACAAACGTAGCACAAACGATTGACATATTTTTTATAAAATTTTTAGTATGATGGGGGGCCAGGTTCACGTTAATGGATTTCACACCTTTTCCCCTCTCGCGGGTGTGAAAGAGCTCCCTGCTGTGCAGCGTATCTGAGTTGTCCCACTCTGCAGGCTGGATCTGAACACTTACGTTTTCACCCCCCTGGAACACAGTCTTCGTATGAACGGTTGGTAGAAACCGACATCCAACTATACCGTTTTACTGCCACATTGTCTCCGTGTAAATTCAGCCTCAGATACGTTGCTCAGCGGGGAACTTTTTCACACACGCGTGAGGGAAAAAGGTGTGAATTCTCACGTAAATTTGGACATGCGCAGTAGCGGAGAATAAACGTAAACAACAATGGCGGCGTGTGCTTCGCGCGCTGCACAGAGGAGGATTTTACTCCTTCGTTCGTCCAAACGAGACCATGCGATGCTATAGTTTCAGTTTCCATTTTCACAGCTGCTGTTAAAATGTAGAATGATGTTGGTGCATTCTTCCACGTCTCCCAGAAGAAGTGAGTATACTGCCGGGGGGGGGGGGCTGGGCATGGGGCTGGGGGTCGCGTGTGTGTGTTGTAAAGTTTCTCTGCCCACTACTGGCCGGGCGCTAGAACTACATCGTTTTTGATCCTCGAATGAACGCTGTGAAATTTGCATTAGGAGCCTGGTTGTTTCTGTAAATATCCTGGAAATGTCTCAGTATAAACAGGGCCTTAGGATTCCACATTGCCTCCTCTGTATATGCAATCCTCCTACACATGCAACCGCTCGACGCAATGCATTTGAGTAAATCTGACTTTTTTTTGGAATGCAGCTTAAATCCCCTCTTCATATACTCATGAAGGTTAAAAGTATAAACCTCCTGCAGAGAGAGGCCTGAGCTGATCCTACAATGAAAGAAAATATCCATATTCATGTGGTGTTCAATAATAAAGTATCCTATTATAATTAATTCTCCGTAGTACAGCCTCAGTTTTTTCACATGTTCCTGCCCCCAAGGCCATTTTGAAACTGCCCATAGACGCCAAAAGTGGTGGCACATTAGTGTAAACGGCGGAGATAGGTGTGACTAAAGCCTCAGTTCTGGATCTACAGCCTCAGTCCTGGATCTACAGCCTCAGTCCTGGCTCTGCAGCCTCAGTCCTGGACAGGTGATGAGTGAATTCTTGTCTGCAGGACAATGCAGTTCCTCCTATTGATTGGGCCGTAGAAGAATTGCTGGAGGAGATTATTTAAACCAATGGGTAGAGGGCTCAACTGTAATGAATGTCATCCAATCAGGAAACAGGCAGACATTTCTTAATCCTCCCTCACAGTTTAAAGGCACACCGTGTAACTCTTGGCCACTAGGGGCGCTAGACCTGCAACTTTCACGTTTAGCGCCCCTAGTGGCCACAAGCAACTCAGCACTGTCGCAAAAGTCAACAAACAGTCAGCCGGTGTCTTTTGAGTGTGTATTCAGACAGCATGCACTGGTGTGTGTGTTCAAACTGTAGAGACATGCCTACAGATATTGAGAGACTCTGCTGTGGTCAGCCTCCAGACCGCTGCATTAGTAATCTACCACACATGGACTTCTATATCCTGGATGAGGGAGTTCTGCGTCTAGCTCGTGCTGCGTGGAATGACATCTTTGCAGTCGATGACATCCAGGAACCAGGTGAACAGCAGCGCTCATACAGACATGCAGCTTACAGCACGATCCCTTTCGCGTTTCCTCTTTTTAGCCTCCTCCGAAGGTTTAAAATTTTTCCTTGCCTCAGCCATGACCAGGAGTCGAGCAGGTGAAAAATGAGTAGCAAAAGCCTTAGCTCCATGAGTATATCAGCGCCTGTAGCCGTAAAGCAAGTGTTTCTTCCAAGTCACGTGACCTGGTGGCAGACGGTCCGTCTGCTCGAAAGTTACATGGGCGGTATTTCAAGAGGGCAGCCCCGCTCGGAGCATTGCAAGTGTCAAGCGCTGTATATTGGCCCAAGTATTCATATAAAATAACTCATATGTGTCAACTCTTTAGGTCACAAAGTCCGCGGTGTGCCTTTAAATTACCTTTAGAGTAAATATGTTTCAGGTAAAACAAGACAAGAGTCACAGCGATTATGGTTTTAATCAAAACAAGGGACTATTACATGTACAGTACAGTGGTACCTGGCTTATCACGGGGACCGGAGACCAGGAGAGACCAGAGAGGGACCAAGAGAGACCAGAGGGTGAGACCAGAGAGAGGCAAGTGAGAGAGAGCAAAGAAAGACCTGAGAAAGAGAGACCAGAGGGGAAGCCCTCTGAAATAATCACCACGGTGCACACAGGCCACAAAAATAATTCTGACGTTAAATAAAGTTATCTTTAGAACTGCTCTATAATTATAACCATAAAATTAAACAAGATCGAGTTCCATCTGGTTTTGAAACTTAATGTTTTAATAAACAACATAAACATTTACAAACTGATGATCTGCCTGTGTCAGAGAGAGAGACCAGTGTCAGCAGGGTCTCTCAAGTCTCTAAACCCTGCTTCATACTGTAAGTCGTAAGACTAAAAGTGTTTTCCCAAAGACATCCAAATTTAGCTGGTGTTATATCAAAGCCAGCCCTTTCCTACTTTACTCTACCTAACCCTCTAGTATAGAGTACTCTACTTTACTTTACTCTACCTAAGTACAGTAGAGGAGAGGGACTTAATAGAACAGTACAGTACGATCCCGGCACACAGAGACAGCTGGATGTGATTGGGAAGCCTCCAGTCCTTCTCAGAGCCTGAGGTGTGATGCTCTAGGTGGCGCTGTTGCTCTGTGGTGCTCTAGGTGGCATTGTTTCTCTCTGAGACTCTAGGTTATGCTGTTGCTCTGTGGTGCTCTAGGTGGAGCTGGTCTTTTTGGGCAGGCAGCGGGTCCAGGGGCTATAGGGCAGAGCGAGGAGGATGAAGAGGACGCCCCCCACGATTAGGACACCCCCCGCACAGCCGATACACGACACGGACCAGGAGAGCTCATGGTGTAGAGGAACCATGTGGTCACTGGACAAGAAGGCCAGCACGGCCTGATGGAAAACCAGGAGAGACACCAGGACCAGGACTCCTGCAAGAGACCAGAGGCTGTGAGACCAGAGACCCGAGGGGGAGACCAGGACAGACACCAGGACCAGGACTCCTGCAATAGACCAGAGAGAGACCAGTACAGACACCAGGACCAGGACTCCTGCAATAGACCAGAGAGAGACCAGTACAGACACCAGGAGCAGGATTCCTGCAATAGACCAGAGAGAGACCAGTACAGACCCCAGGAGCAGGATTCCTGCAAGAAATCAAAGGTTGTGACAGCAAAAGCCAGTGAGAGAGACCGGGACCAGGCTACAGTTAATGCTAACTGCTGTCAGTAAACAGTGTGTACGGTAACTAGCACTTTCTTTTCTGATACAAAAACAAACTAAGTAAAGCGGACAACTTTGCACATCCAACTGTGACAGGTGCGTAAGAGCAGGTTCCGCACACAGCTTCGCCAACTTGAAAAGGAAGAAAAACAACAACAAACTGTACTTGCATACACCAGTGGTTTTTATTTACAGATGCAATGTTTCGGCCGTGGGCCTTCATTAGGCAAATGTTGAGGAATACCCATTTGCCTGACAAAGGCCGACAACAGAAATGTTGCATCTATAAATTAAAAAACACTGCACCTGCGGATTGCCCTGTCCCCCCGGTTCCTCCCCCAGCTTCTCTTCTAGCTCCTCTTCTAGCTCCTCTTCTGGCTCCTCTTCTAGCCCTAATATGCCACCCCCAGTGCTAGGCCCCAGGGGATTAGAGATTTCATCTGACAGAGCAATGATCTTTCCCGATCAAGTGTCTCTCAAGGGTCTATGTGCCAAACTATAATCAATAAAATGATATAATACATTCGGTCTGTTTTGGTCTCCCCAGATTGAACTTAGTCTTCGACTCAGACAGACTTTATTGATCCACAAGGGAAATTGCGTTGTCACAGTAGCTTGCATAGTATTCCACATAAAAATAACAATAAAGTAACAACCTGAAAATAAGAATAATAATAAGATACTCTTGTGAGAATAGAATAATCTGGATATACTGTAGGTACACAGGAATATACATATTTGTGAATATGTACAGATTTACAATTACACATTTATAAAATACATTTGGCTACATTTAAACTTTACTTTTAAATGAATGGTGCAGTCAAAATGTTTCTGACCTGAGAGGATGAAGCAGACCGAGGCAGGTTTGAGGAAGAAGAGGATTTCTTTGCTCAGGGCCATCGTGATGCAGATTGCTCCCATCATCATCAGGAACAGACTGAACATCGCCAACATGGACGCTGCCATGGTCAGGTCTGCAGGAGGTCAATGGTCAGGGTTACAGAGACCGATATCAAAATGTATGGACATTTACGTATTTGTATAGCACATTTAATTTGAGCTCAATCAAAGAACAAATAGTGATCATGCATGTGTGTAGTATGTGGAGAGTGTTTCTTAAACCACATGGACTAGAGGCCACCAGCGGTACTGCAGCCCTGGATCTACGCCTCAATCCAGGATTGGTGGACAGAGACAACAGACCTCACTGCTGCCTCTCTCTGCTCTTTGGTCTCTTTCTCTCCCTGTTCTCTCTGCTCTTTGGTCTCTTTCTCTCCCTGTTCTCTCTGTTCTCTCTCTGGTTTCTTTCTGATCTCTCTCTGATCTCTCTCTGATCTCTCTCTCTCTCTCTCTCTCTCTCTCTCTCTCTCTCTCTCTCTCTCTCTCTCTCTCTCTCTCTCTCTCTCTCTCTCTCTCTCTCTCTCAGGTTTCTCTCTGTTCTCTCTCTGGTCTCTTTCTGGTCTCTCAAGTGACGCCACTTCTCTGTCGAACAGTTCCCGTCTCAGTTAGAAAGTCCCACAGAGGATTCAGATCTCTTTTTCAGTCTTGCCCCTATAGAGACAGGGGAGCTTCTGTACATGTTTCTAGTGGAGACAGGAGCACCAGGAGAAAACCTACCTAGACACAGTGAGAACATGACAACTCTGCTCTGAAAGGCCCTGTCCTGAACTCCTCTAGCTCAGTGGCCGTGAGTTTCAAATTCGACATTTTGGACATAAATCTGTGGTTTATCACTCTCTATGTTCCTGCTTTTTATATTGTGATGTTGCTTTTGTAAGTCTAGATTTGAGCCACATAAGGACTGACCAATCAGAGACCTTCATTCAGGGAAAACTCCACCTTGCCTTAGCAAGCGTCCAAGCAACACATCTATCCCTGTAACGCTGTCAGAATAAATGCCCATCTAAGGAAACTGGATCCATCTTATGTTGGAATCGGCTTAATTTGCATTAAGGCTAACACTGTGGTGATGTCACACTGTGGTGATGTCACACTGTGGTGATGTCACACTGTGGTGATGTCACAAACTCACTTTTATGTGTGGTTTTGTGAAACATCACAGCGCTCTCTCCTGTGGTGAAGAACTTGAAGTAGGTGCAGTTTGTCACTGGAAAAACAAGATAAAAAACAAACACACACAGTTAGAATGGTCACACAACAGCCTTCTCTCATACAAAACACAACGAGTGATACACAGAACCACACACAGTAGGACACACACACTGCACCATAATTAACAGGGGAAACTGAAAAAATTATGTTATGTTCAAAAGTAGAAGAGTAAAATATTGGATTACATTCTTTAATAGAATAGAATTCTAGGTACCAGATACTACATTTTTGTGAACACACAACCAGGTAGAGGAGAGTAGAGTAGAATAGGGTAGGGCTGGTGGAAACAGTGCTTTAGACATATCCATACGTGGTTTTAAAATTAGGTCCCTTGAATTTAAATCACAACAGTGATGACTTTAGTTTTTTTTATGACTGTATGAGCTATGTTTAAAACCAGTGTTTCTCTCATTGCTGTCATTTAGAATCTCCACGGCTCATCACCGTGGCGACAGATTGTTTCAGTGATTGTGATGTCTAGAATATTGACACACAGAAACCAAACCATTAGACCATACCGAGAACCCTCTGTGTGCATGTGTTCCAGTGAACAGACCGTAACAAAGGCACCGTCACGCCTCCACAGCCTTCAGCCTGTGTTACCGTGATCAAACACTCGTCTTTGACAGGATCCAATCAGTGCAGACGCTGATAAGAAGTGGCCACAATCCAACCACAACAAACTATGTGTACATTCTTTTGTATGCGGCATCGGTCTATGTAGCATATACTGCAATATCTTTATGTTTAAATATCCTCCCTTCATTCAATTTAGGTATTTTTTCTTTTTGTCATGTGACGAGTCCTGTGGACATCATTGGTCTTTTCTAAACGCCTACCTTCTATGTATCCAATAGTGGTTGCTCCTTTACGTCATGTGTCGAGTTCAGTGGACGTCATGAGTCTATTTTAACCTGTCAATTCAGTATGTTTTTTACACTGCCCTGAAGAAGGCCCTGCGTGGCCGAACCGCGTTGGTCCCTTCTCTAATAAAGGACTTTTATCAGAGTGCCTCGGATTTCACCCTTTCTTCATTGGAAAAGGGTATCTTTGTTTTTCAAACTAACTATGTACCTGTATTAGAATTACACTATTACACTACCTGTATTAGAATTACACTATTTATGCACCAGCCCTACTCTACTCTACTCTCCCTCTATAGTCTTATCTTCCTGGCCTCTTTCTGGTTCTCTAACCGATTTCTCTCTGGTCTCACCTCCTGGCAGCTCAGCCGGTCCACAGGTCTCTCTCTCGGGGTCGATGTCTGCCACCCACAGGGTCTTAGTGCAGCCTTTCCATAGGCCCAGGTGAGCCGTGAGACAGGTCTGAGGGAGACAGGTGATGGAGAGACAGGTGATGGAGAGACAGACAGGTGAGAGACAGAGACAGGTGATGGAGAGACAGACAGGTGAGAGACAGAGACAGGTGATGGAGAGAAAGACAGGTGAGAGAGAGAGATGGTACCAGCTCCTGTCCCTGGTGTAGTACCTGGTTGTTGTAGAAGTGTTTTGGAGGGGACAGCTCGGCCCAGAACTCTGTCCCGACTCCGAGAACCGTCAGAACCACACCCACAATGGCCACGAAGAACGCTAACTTAATCTGGAGGAAAAAAAGAAATAATCATCTGTGGCTGCAGTAGTAGTAGTTTATCACCATCGTATTTGGAGTGAATGAATGATGCTGTAAAGAGAGCATTCACAGCATTATTCGTTTTTGAGCTTCTAAAAAAGAATTGTATTAAAAAGCCATCTAATTGTGAGGTGTTTTAACGTCTGTTAACTTGTTATAAAGCTTTGTGAATATAAAATCTGTGAGCTCTGTGGCTCACTGCTGTTTCCCTCCTGACAGGAGGGAAACAGCCTGTCCTCCCCTGTCCTCACCTGTCCTCCCCTGTCCTCACCTGTCCTCACCTGTCCTCCCCTGTCCTCACCTGTCCTCACCTGTCCTCACCTGTCCTCCCTTGTCCTCCCTTGTCCTCCCTTGTCCTCCCCTGTCCTCCCCTGTCCTCCCTTGTCCTCACCTGTCCTCCCCTGTCCTCCCTTGTCCTCACCTGTCCTCCCCTGTCCTCCCCTGTCCTCCCCTGTCCTCACCTGTCCTCCCCTGTCCTCCCCTGTCCTCACCTGTCCTCCCCTGTCCTCCCCTGTCCTCACCTGTCCTCCCCTGTCCTCCCCTGTCCTCCCTTGTCCTCCCCTGTCCTCCCCTGTCCTCCCCTGTCCCCACCTGTCCTCCCCTGTCCTCCCCTGTCCTCCCTTGTCCTCCCCTGTCCTCCCCTGTCCTCACCTGTCCTCCCCTGTCCTCCCCTGTCCTCCCTTGTCCTCACCTGTCCTCCCCTGTCCTCCCCTGTCCTCCCCTGTCCCCACCTGTCCTCCCCTGTCCTCCCCTGTCCTCCCCTGTCCTCCCCTGTCCTCCCCTGTCCTCCCTTGTCCTCACCTGTCCTCCCCTGTCCTCCCCTGTCCTCCCCTGTCCTCCCCTGTCCCCACCTGTCCTCCCCTGTCCTCCCCTGTCCTCACCTGTCCTCCCCTGTCCTCCCCTGTCCCCACCTGTCCTCCCCTGTCCTCCCCTGTCCTCCTCTGTCCTCCCCTGTCCTCCCCTGTCCTCACCTGTCCTCCCTGTCCTCCCCTGTCCTCCCCTGTCCCCACCGGTCCTCAGCTTATATTTGTTGCTGCTGGTTGTTTATGCCTCTGCTCTCCCGCACAGACCTCCAGCTGCTCAACTTTTGCCTTTTGTTTTGTTGATTTTTCTACATAGGTTACTGTCAATAAAGACGTGCATGTCTAAACTAAAAAGACATGAAACTAAAAATGCATGGAATTTCGTAATTAAGAATAAAAATGTAATAATGTGTGATTTCGTACTTGTGAATAATATTTTTTTTGTGCTTGCATTTTCTTTTTCTGAATACAGATTTCAGCAGTGAGCAAACTGTCAATATTACGTCACTGCTCACAGACATTAACAATGGAGCCTGCGCAGAGTTGATCCACTTCATTGCCTCAAAACTAAACATGGCAGAGGGACACAACATTAACAACGTGGCTCAAAATCAGGTTTATAACTATATTTGATCATTTTGGTCGTAAATAAATGTGTAAGAAATATTAATTCCATAAATGTGTTCATAAGAAGATGCTTCTCGTCCCTCTCTAGAATCGTTTTTTTGGCAGTATTGTTAACTCCAGTTTTATTTTTTTATTAAAGTATTGTTTTATTCTACAGAAAATAATTTATTTTAGTCTAAACAACAGACTAACTAGCGTTACTGAACTAGTGAGTAAAAGTCAAATTCACTCACAAATATAAGATTGAGGCCCACAGGGACAGGGTCTGTGACGTCTAACAACCGAGGATGAGTAAAGCACGGAGGTGTCCTTCATATTGCTCAGGGGCAGTAACAGCGCGAACTATGAATAATCTGGAGGGTTGGGGCTGGTATCAACACATTAACCACATTGATTTGGGACAAAGGCTTCATCAAATGTAAATGCTAAGTATTGTAAACATGTTGGTTTTAAAATAACATGGTAAGCTGTAAAACTAGCATTGAAGCTAGTGTTAACTAAACACTGCAAAAAAAAAAAAATCTAGAGAGGGACAAGAAACATCTTATGAACACATTTATGGAATTAATATTTCTTACACATTTATTTACGAACAAAATGATAAAATATAGTTATAAACCTGATTTTGAGCCACGTTGTTAATGTTGTTGCCCTCTGCCATGAACGACTCTGGCCAGGCTTGATTGTTAAATCTGCAACAGTCGCACAAGTAGGGGTGTGATGATATATCGCGATATATCGCGATACTTTCTCCCGCGATTCGATTATCAATATGCATTTGCCAAGTATCAATATCGATTTTGAAAAAAAATAATTAGTATCAATACTTAATATATGGCTACATTACGCATATCCATTTCATTTATCATGAAATAAAGTGTATTTTTCCACTTAACATTTTTCTTTTATTTATACCATAAATTGGCATATGGTATATTTCTGACCAATACATCGATAATCGTCATTTCGTCAATCAATCATCAATCAATCAACTTTATTTGTATGGCGCCTTTCCAACACAAGGCCACTCAAAGCGCCTCACAACCCACATAATATCACACAAATCAGAGACATCAATAAATACATTAAAAACAGAATAAAATCACAAGTAATGGAAAAAAAAAAAAAAAAAAAAAAAAAATTAAAAGCACACACGGGATTAAAATAATAAATAACCACAATGCATTAAAAAAAAAAAAAAAAAAGAGTATGTATCAATAAAATCCTTCAGCCGTATGCACAGCTAAAAAGAACAGTTTTTAGCCCTGATTTAAAAATTGCCAGAGTTGATGCTAGCCTCACATCTTCAGGAAGATTGTTCCAGATTTTAGCTCCATAAATCTCAAACGCTGCCTCCCCATGTTTAGTTCTGACTCTTGGAACCAGTAAGAGGCTACCTCCTGTGCTCCTCAGAGTCCGGGCCGGTTCATATGGGACTAACAAGTCGCTTAAGTACCCTGGTGCGAGGCCATGGAGAGACTTGTACACAAGCAGTGCTGCTTTGAAGTCTATTCTCTGAGCCACAGGAAGCCAGTGCAGAGACCTGAGAACTGGACTAATGTGGTCATATTTCCTGGTCCTGGTCAGGACTCGAGCTGCAGCATTTTGGACATACTGCAGTTGTTTTACAGCCTGTTTGGAGAGACCTGTGAGCAGGCCATTGCAGTAGTCTAACCTACTGGAGACAAATGCATGGATGAGAATCTCCAGATCTGATTTAGACACTATGTTTCTAATTTTGGCAATGTTTTTCAGATGGTAAAATGCTGCTGATGTTACTGATTTGATATGACTGTTAAAATTTAAGTCTGAGTCCATTATAACTCCTAGGTTTCTGACCTTGCCTACAGGTTCCAGGGAGAGAGACTGGAGGTCACGAATAACGCTCTCTCTTTGTTTCTGAGGACCAAAGACAATCAATTCTGTTTTGTCTGCGTTTAGCTGAAGGAAGTTATTTTGCATCCAATCACTAATCTGTTGAGTACAGTGAAGGAGTGATTCCACTGGTCCATGTTCTCCTGCAGTAAGTGAGACATAAATTTGAGTGTCATCAGCGTAATTGTGGTAGGATACATTGTTGGAGCGTATTAACTGACCTAACGGCAGCATGTAAATATTGAACAGAAGAGGCCCCAGAATTGATCCCTGTGGCACTCCGCAGGTCAGAGCCATATGATCTGAGACACAGTTTCCTATCTGAACCAAGTATTTCCTGTCTTCTAGGTAAGACCTAAACCAACTTAGGGCAGTCCCAGTGACACCCACCCAGTGCTCTAGTCTCTGCAGGAGGATCTCGTGGTCGACTGTGTCGAACGCAGCACTCAGATCCAACATTACTAAAACTGTGACTTTTCCTGTGTCGGTGTTAAGTCGGATGTCATTTGTAACCTTCACTAGTGCAGTCTCAGTGCTGTGATTGGCTCTAAAGCCGGACTGGAGCGCATCAAACGAACTATTAGTTACTAAGAATTCTGTAAGTTGTTGGTAAGCAACTTTTTCCAGAATTTTTCCCATAAATAAAATTTATGGGATAAAATCGTTATCGTGATATTATCGTTATCGTGATATTATCGTTATCGTGAGTTTTGTATCGTGTATCGTATCGTATCGTGAGGTACCCTTAGGTTCCCACCCCTACTCACAAGTCACAAGTTTCAACTTGACGTATTCAGGGACAAGCCTCAAATAAAACACACAGAATCCCCACAAAACAATCGGCAGAATACTTCACCAGCAGCGTGAGTGAATGTTATGTTTCTCTTACCGTGCTGCAGATAGGGCGCTGTGGCTACCGCTAAAGCTAACATGAGCTGTTAGCCATATCCTGCCGCGGCATCATCGTAGGTTTAATCGCCCATAGACGTTATTCCTCCCTGCGTCTCTTCACACCACGTTTGTAAAACTATATATTATAATAGATCCATGGTTAAACTCAGAGCCTCTGTGTAGGTTGCTGCGTCTGAACACGGTCTTGTTTACAAGTCGCCTCCACACGACTGTCAAGTGCCCGCGACGTTTGGAGCGATCCGGTCATTTATCAAACTAAAGTATTCTTTCCTTGGCAGTCTGGTGAATGACTGAGGCTTCCGTAGTTCACAGACATAGACTGCGATATAAGATCTCAACGTTAGATGGCACTAAGAATTACACAGTGAACTTTTAAAACCGTTATTAGTTGTGCTTCCCAACAGTAACTGCTTCCAAGTCAGGACTCATTCACAAATCTGTTTAGACCAGGCATATCCAAAGTCAGGCCCACGGGCAAGATGTAGCAAGATGTAGCAGTCATGCTACACCTTGTATAAATCTCAAACCCTGTGGAATCCAGCTGTTGACTCTACTGTTAAATACTGTCTTTTGTTTGACATTCCAAACTTCAGCTTAAATCCAGTTTTTTAAATCCAGGCTGTCGGCCTGGATTGACTCTTACTAAAAAAATTTGGACACCCCTAGTTTAGACAAACTCTGACAAAACTCCTAATTATTGTACTTTCTCGACTACAAACCGCACTAGCAACATTATAAAAGGAATTACATATCGTCCACATGTAGGCTGCACCAGAGTATAAGCTGCAGGTTTTCATGTTTAATGTAGCAGAGAGACGACTGTTTTAACTGGACACAACAGAAGTGTTTAACAGCTTTAACTTCCATGACTTATTCACCGTTAGTTTCCATGACTCTTTCCCCGTCAATTTCCATGATGCTTCCATGCCTCATTCACCGGCTGAAGGGTTTAATGATCTTTGACAGTATTCCCTTCACTCCGCCGCGTACAGTAGTAAATAACTAATGTTTATCCGTTCAGAGGTTTCTCACCTTCCCCTCCTGGGCCTCGCTCATGGCCTGCGCCCCCGCCCTTCGTCTCTTGCCTCCTCCAAAGGTGCTGCGTCCGCTCATCAGGCTGTTGAGGCCGACGGGACCTGGAGCTGGACCCCCGGTCAGGGGCACTCCCCCCACCTGAACCCCCCCTCCCCCTGGAGCTCCCACCGGCCTCCCCTCCTCATCCGTCACAAAGAACGTGGACCACATCCTCCAGAAGCACCAGGCCTCAGTCCACAGCCGCTGACACACAGGTACAGGACACAGGTGCTGGACAGGTTTGGTTTGTTTATAAATGTAAAAAAAAAGATGGTTTGAAGATTTGGGTTTGTGAATTCTCAGAGACAGTCCCTGAAAGGCCACAGGGTGAACGGAGGTTTTGACGACGGAGAGTTTGGGAAATGCCTCATGATTTACTTCATCTGTGACAGAAGAAAACCTGTGGAAGAGATAATACATGGATCACTTATACATTTGTATAACAGGTACAACCTTGTTATTACTCTGCTCTACTCTGATGTCAGCAACTTAAACTGTATTACACAAAAAATATATTTTTTTCAGCACTTTCTGCACTGCAATGTACAGATTTTTCTGATACAGGGGGGTCTAAGGACAGTGACCATCCGGGCCATTTATGGACAGTGGTCATCCCACTCTCTTTTGACCAATAGCTCCTCTCCATGGTTTCTCTCTGGTCTTTCTCTATCTCTGGTCTCCATCTCTCTGGTCTCTCCTTTTACTCTCTCTCTCTGGTTTCTCCTCTGTCTCTCCTTTGTCTCTCTCTGGTTTCTCCTTTGTCTCTTTCTGGTTTCTCTCTGGTCTCTCCTTTGTCTCTCTCTGTCTCTCCTTTGTCTCTCTCTGGTTTCTCTCTGGTCTCTCCTTTGTCTCTCTCTGGTTTCTCCTCTGTCTCTCTTGTTCCTCTCTGTAATCTCTGTCTCTCCTTTGTCTCCCCCCTGTCTCTCTCTGGTCTCTCCTTTGTCTCTCTCTGGTTTCTCCTCTGTCTCTCTTGTTCCTCTCTGGACTCTCTGTCTCTCCCCTGTCTCTCTCTGGTCTCTCCTTTGACTCTCTCAGGTTTCTCTCTGGTTTCTCTCTGGTCTCTCCTTTGTCTCTCTCTGGTTTCTCCTCTGTCTCTCTTGTTCCTCTCTGGACTTTCTGTCTCTCCTTTGTCTCTCCCCTGTCTCTCTCTGGTCTCTCCTTTGACTCTCTCAGGTTTCTCTCTGGTTTCTCTCTGGTCTCTCCTTTGTCTCTCTCTGGTTTCTCCTCTGTCTCTCTTGTTCCTCTCTGGACTCTCTGTCTCTCCTTTGTCTCTCCTCTGTCTCTTTCTGGTCTCTCTGTAGTCTCTCTGGCTGTGAATGTGCAGCTGTCTCTCTCTCTCTGCCCCAGTGATGACATGTAGCAGTAGCAGCAGTAGCCTCTCTCGTTAGCCTCTGTCACACACTCCTCTCTCTGCAGCTGCTCCACAGGAAAGAGAAAGTTATCAGCGCTTAGAGACGGTGTCAGCGGGAAAAGTCTCTAAAGCCTATGGATCTCACTGAAGCCCGGTGTCAATCTGGGACCAGTCTGACTCTTGGTCTTTGTTGGTCTGTATGTGGAGGGTTTGACCTCAGATACTGCTCAATCACAACAGCAGTTGTCTTAGCGGACTTTACAAAGTTTTGAATTCACAGACAACAGATCAGAGAATCAAACAGTTCAAAGACAGGAAATGCAATAATAGCAAACACATCGAGTCATTGGCCCAGGAGGATGGCCACTGTCCTCACACCCTCCTGCACCAGAGAAAATATAGATCTATATTTTTCTGTGGTTATAGTTTCCACTGAGACCTGGTTCTTGTGGAGCCAAATACTGTATGCATTTTCAGGTGGGCCCGACTCTTGACACTGGGGTAGGGGCCTGGACTTTCAGGGGAGGGGAACTCGTGCGTTTGAGAAACACACTTCCAGAGGACATAGTGGATGTCTAACTGCAGCAGCAGGAAAAAAATATGATCAATAACACATACATGAACATAAATGCATACTCTACATGTGAACTTGACTTTTCTAAAACAATGTTTACAAAATACTGCACAGTCAGAATAAATCAATATAACAGTCTTTATACAAGAACAATTCAAAAGGTACGAAAGGTATATAATAGACTTTAAAGCAGCTCTGCTTGCTCTCTCCATGGCCTCGCACTAAAGTACATCTGTGACATGTTAGAGCCATTTGAACCAACTCTGAGGAGCACAGGGACTGGCCTCTGGTTCTCCTGTTCCCAGAGAGAACAGAACCAGACACCTCTGCTATGTGGCTGCTGCCTCGTGCACCTCACCATCGTGACGTGATTTCCTGTATCCGGTGAGCGTGTTTCTTGACTGCTATCACTCTGCTCTATGTTTGCACTAACAAACACATTACAAATCCACGTATTGTACACCAAGCTAACTGTGTAAGCACTCCGAGTCAGCTGTACTGTAGCTGAGGTTTAGGTAGCGGTTGTTTGTCTGGTCTCGGAGTCTGTTGTGCGGGCCCGGATCCGTACTAGCTTAGCCTAGCCTAGCTTAGCCTAGCCTAGCCGCTAACTCGCTACTATGGCGGCTGCTGTCTCTCCCTCAATCCTTTACTGCTCGAGTTGCCATATGGCGAGTCTAAACCCTGGATCCTTCTCTGAGGGTAGTGATAGATGTGTGAAGTGTAGTGTAGTCGTAGCTCTGGAATCCAGGGTCAGTGAGTTAGAGCTGCGTCTCCGAGCACTGGAGTCTCGAGCTAGCGCTAGCATTAGCTACAGCCAGGCCGTATCCTCAGGGACAGCGGAGCGCAGCTTTAGGGAAAGGCAGAGGAGAACTAGCGAGCCTAGCCTCCCAGCCCGTCCTCCGCAGCTGGGACAAGACCAGGATAGTGATGGCTTTGTGACTGTTCGGAGAGGGCGACGTGTTGTTGGTAGTTTCCCCATTGGGCCTCCTCCTGTTAGCATTTACAATCGCTGGGACGCTCTGTCCGGCTGCGCCCCCGCGCGGCCGGGCGGGGAAGAAGGCCCCACTGAGAGAGCCGCTGAGAGAGCTGCTGAGAGAGCCGATGGAGTCGCTGATGCGCTGGTAATTGGCTCCTCTATTGTTAGAGGTGTTAAGATCCCAGGAGCCACTGTTCGGTGCTTCCCTGGGGCCAGGCTTGGTGATATTGAAGGGAATCTGAGGCTCATGATGACCCACAAGCAGCGTTTCCGTCGAATTGTTATTCACGCGGGTGGTAATGACGTTCGGCGGAAACAGTCCGAGGTGTTGAAGCTGCAAGTCGCCGCCGTGTGCAAGCTGGCTAGCACAATGGCCGACACTGTCATCTTCTCTGGGCCCCTACCTAGCACTAGCAGTGCAGAAGCATTCAGCAGACACTCGGCTTTCAACCGCTGGCTGTCTGGCTGGTGCCCTCGAAGTGGTGTTGTTCATGTTGACAATTGGAGTGCCTTTTGGGGAAAGCCCGGTCTCATCCGCTCGGATGATATCCACCCAACGTTGGCGGGTACATCCCTTTTGGCTAAGAATTTGGCCCTGGCTCTAAACTGTTCTGCCCGGCTCAAATGACGATGCAGAACTGAGGCCCGGGTGCAGAGCTGCTCTGCCACAACCTCTGAGCCCCCATCTGTTCAGTTACTAGCCTCAGAGGCTAGTCAGATTGAAACTGTGTGTGCATGTGTGTGTGTGCCTGTGTGTGCTCAGTTACTAGCCTCAGAACCTAGTCAGATTGAAACTGTGTGTGTTCCCCGCTTGAAGTCTAAAGCACTATATGCGAGGAAATCTGACCTAGGTGTCAGACACAGTAACTTAATAAAAGTTCAGACAGACAGAAATAGTTCTAGCGGTAGGGTTGTTAAATGTGGTTTAATGAACGTCAGATCAATCTCGTCTAAATCGCTTCTCATAAACGAACTTATTATAGACAAGGGCTTGGATCTGTTAGCGCTCTCGGAGACTTGGCTCCAACAGGACGAGTACGTTAGATTGAATGAGTGCACTCCTCCGACGCATTGTTAACTACCAGAAAGCCAGAGCTACAGGTCGCGGCGGTGGTGTTGCGATTATATCACACACCAACTTGGTTCTTAGTCCCAAAACCAACAACGCTTTTCACTCGTTTGAAAACTTAACACTTTCAATCACCTGTCCTGGGTGGAGAAAACAAAAAGCAGTACTATTTATAGTTTTATACCGACCTCCTGGTCCTTACAGCGAGTTCCTAACAGAATTCTCTGACTTCATTTCAAACCTAGTTTTGGAATGGGAAAACATAGTTATAGTTGGAGACTTCAATATACATGTGGACGACAGCACTGACAGCTTAAACAAAGCTTTCAGCGCCGTACTAGATGGTGTTGGTTTTACTCAGAATGTCGAGGGACCTACTCACATTCATAACCACACCTTGGACCTTGTCCTGACCTACGGCTGTGATGTCTCCAATGTTGACATCCAGCGTCAAAGCTCTTTGCTGTCTGACCATTTCTTGATCACGTTTGATCTCGCTTTGGAGGACTTTCCTGTCCCGCAAGATAAAACCATAATGAAAAGAACCTTAAATGATAAATCTATCACAAGGTTCAAAGAACTAATACAGCCTATGTTGAATACTGCTGCAGGTGAACCTGTTCACAGCAGCTGCAGTCCCTCAGTCATTGACCAAACGGTGGGCAACACTATGGAGTCTTTAAAATCTGCATTAAATGCAGCAGCTCCTTTAAAACAGAAAACCATTAGGATTAGATCATCGTCGCCCTGGTACAGTGTTCAACTCCACACTTTAAAACAGGACGTCAGAAAATTGGAGAGGCTATATCGCCACTCCCACTCGGAGCCTGTCCACAGGGAGTGGAAAGCAGGTCTCCGAAACTACAAGAAGGCCCTTCGCGGGGCTCGAACTCAATACTATTCAACTTTAATAGAAGCGAATAAAAACAACAGTAGATTTTTGTTTGGTACCGTCGCTAAACTCACAAACTGCCATAGCGCAATCGAGCCTAAAATTCCAAGCTCAGCAGTGTCGACTTTCTCCACTTCTTTAATAATAAAATTACATCCATCCGTGACAAGCTGGAGGAGGTTGCTCCTGCTGTTAGTGGTGGACAGGTTGAAGCGGCATACGTGACTTCCCACTTAGACTCTTCAGTGGGCCTTAATAAATTCATGGCTGTGAGCCAAGCAGAGGTGATCTCTGTGGTCACATCCTCAAAAGCCTCAACTTGCATGTTAGACGCAGTCCCGACATGGCTCTTCAAAGACATACTTCCTTTGATAATTGAGCCTATCGTAAAAATAATAAACGCATCCATACAATGTGGCTATGTCCCACAAGCTTTTAAAACCGCGGTAATCAAACCCCTTCTGAAGAAAACAAACCTGGACCCAGAAATACTTACAAACTACAGACCGATCTCAAACCTCACTTTTATATCTAAAATCCTGGAAAAACTTATAGCTGAGCAGCTCCGCTGCCACCTGCAGGAAAATGATATGTTTGAAGTCTTTCAATCAGGATTCAGAGCTCATCATAGCACTGAAACGGCACTAGTCAAAGTCACAAATGACTTACTACTAGCTGCCGATAATGGACAAGTGTCAGTGCTGGTCCTACTGGACCTTAGTGCTGCATTTGACACAATAGACCACAGCATTCTACTGCAGAGGCTAGAATGTGATATAGGTCTTAGAGGAACAGCCCTTGGCTGGTTTAAATCCTATTTATCAGATCGATATCACTTCGTCAATGTGAATCAGGACTCGTCGCCTTATTCTGGAGTGGAATTCGGTGTGCCGCAGGGTTCGGTACTCGGACCGATTCTTTTTACTCTCTACATGCTGCCACTGGGAAACATTATTAAAAAGCATGGAATTAATTTCCACTGCTATGCAGATGACACACAGCTTTATCTGTCGATGAAGCCTAATCAGACAGATCAGCTAGAAAAGCTCAGTGCCTGCATAAAGGACCTTAAAATGTGGATGACTCTTAACTTCCTACTTCTCAACCCGGAGAAGACAGAAGTGATCCTACTCGGTCCGAAGCGCCTGCGTGACTCCCTCACTAACCAGATGGTTACTCTCGATAATGTCAGTATAATACCCAGTAACACTGTGAGGAATCTTGGAGTCATTTTTGACCAAGAACTCTCCTTCAAGGCTTATATAAGCCAAGCAACTAAAACGGCGTACTTCCACTTACGGAACATCGCTAAAATTAGGAATTTCCTTCCTAAAAGTGACGCGGAAAAACTCATTCACGCGTTTGTCACCTCAAGGCTCGACTACTGTAACGCTTTACTGGCAGCGTGCCCTAAAGCCTCTTTGAAGAGCTTCCAGCTCGTTCAGAATACAGCAGCTAGGATCTTAACAGGTACCAAAAGGAGGGAGCACATAACTCCGGTGTTAAAATCACTCCACTGGCTCCCTGTGGAGTACAGAATAAAGTTTAAAATCCTACTCTTAACATATAAAGCCATAAATGGCTTGGCTCCCTCTTATCTCCAAGACACGTTAGTGTCGTATCAACCAGGTCGAGCGTTGCGCTCACAAAACGCCAGACGTCTGGTGGTCCCTAAGGTCTCAAAGGTCACTGTTGGTGGCAGAGCATTTAGCTACCAAGCTCCTTTACTGTGGAATCAGCTTCCCATTTATGTTAAGGAAGCAGATACGGTCTCCACATTCAAGGCCAGGCTTAAAGCACTTTACTTTAATTTAGCATATAATTAGGTAATATATAATATGTAGTGTATATATTATATATATATGCTGTATTATGTTATATATTATGTTATATATTATTCAATAATGTATTGTGTTATGTTGTATATTATGTTATATATTATGCTGTATGTTATTCTTTATTCAAGGCTAGGTTTAAAACAGTCCTCTTTAGTTTAGCATATGGCTAGGAAGGTAAGACTCGGAGAAGGTTAAACTCCTCAGAGTGTTAGTCAAGCTGCATAGGGAGTCAGTTTGCTGGGAGAAGTATGGTAACTTGAGCACTATCCTCTCCTCCTTCCTACTTTATCTGTTTAGCATTTTTAGGATTCTGACTGTAGTTTGTTCATTGCTATTCACCCGTTGTCCCATTGTCTGTTTCATGGTACGATGACGGGATCTCTGAGCCTGGCCTCTTCCATCTACACCTGCGGACTGCCCCGCCCGACCCGCCTGGGAGTGCTTCAGTCCTGCACCGGACCTGTCCACGTTCAGCGTCCACTGGTCCACGTTCTGTAGCTAGCTTAGGTCCTGGATCATTAGTCTGTCCGTCCGGAGGAGCGGATCCCTTTCTCATATGGGTCTCCCTCCCTGTGGGTTTCCCTAGTTCTCCTCCAAGGTTTCTCACTTTTTCCCACTGGGTTTTTTAAGAGTTTTTCCTTGTCGATGCAGGAGGGTCTTGTTGGACAGTTAGTGTCCAACAGAAAGGATTGGTGATGATCAGGACACTTTAGCATTCTACAACATGTATGGACATTTTCTTCTGTGTGTGCTTTATACTGTATTCTTCATGTGTTTTAACTGTTGATTCTCTGACCTGTGTTGGTGATTTCAATGGTTTTGTTAAGTCCTCTGAGATGACTTCTGTTGTGACCTAGGGCTATACAAGAATAAATTGTATTGTATTGTGTACCAGAATACACTGTTCCACTATCAAACCAATAAAAAAGGTGAGGTTCGTAACTCGGAGAAGCATGTGACTAGTTCTTTGCTCTAAAACAGTTGCTTCTATCACTAGTTGTGTTTGTTGTTGGCCTCTGTCACATTATTAGATCAGCTTTCTTCATGTTATCTTAGTGTGAGAGAATACTCATTACAGACATGCGCACACACACACCCACACTTACTACAGACATACCTACTAAGGACACTCACACACACACACACACACACACACACACACGCTTACTACAGAAATACACACACACACACTTACTACTAGTAGGCACTAGGGGCCACTTAAGTTCACCAAAATTGTCCAAGGAGAGTCTTGTGTAACTACTACCAGGACCTACCAGCTCAGCCTGGTTCTATCCAGCTGGTACTAAAGTGTTTTAACTAACAGAACACAATTTCCCTGAATACTGATTTGTTATAGGTCGGTTTCAAGGACACAACACTTGATACTAAAGCGTGATGGAAACACAATAGAGTAGAGTAGAGTAGAGTAGAGTAGAGTAGAGTAGAGTAGAGTAGAGTAGAGTAGAGTAGAGCTGGTGGAAACAGGACAAATTACTGCAGCAGAGGGCCAGAGTTTGGACATGGATTATAGATAAATACAAACTTCCCTTTTGTAAATAGAGTATGGTTTGGAATATGGTGAGTGCTATAAATAAATGATCGTTACCTTTGTCCTGTAGGTGTGAAAACCTCCTGACAATGCTCCTATTTTTACATACAAAAGTAAAACAAAAGTTAAAGACTTCCACGAGCTGCGTCTCCGCTATCTCTCAGATCCCAAAATAATCCTGTCCGGAAAGTATACGAGTTTTAGTCCAGAGGGAGAGACCATAGAGAGACCAGAGAGGGAGACCAGAGAGACTCAGGACCAGAGACTGGAGCAGGAGACCAGAGAGGAAGACCATAGAGGAAGACCAGGAGAGGAAGACCATAGAGAGACGAGAGACCAAAGACCAGAGACCGGATCGGGAGACCAGCGAGAGAGGACAGATACCAGAGAGACACCGGAGAGAGAGACTAGTTCCCCCTTCGGTTTAAATTACTTTTGTATATTTGACAGTTCAGCACGTGCTTCTGTGTCGCCACAAACATCACAACAATGAGACAAGATTCTGACCTGGTTTTGGTGCTGTGTGTCCCAGGACGAGCAGAGGCCGAGGATGACAGGTGGAAGTGTGTGTGTGTGTGTGTGTGTGCGTGAACGTGTGTGTATGTAAACTGGGGTAGAGGAGCCCACACATTAAAGCCGGGGTAATTGGAGCAGCTCAAAGAGACTTGACTGGGACCAGAGAGAGACCAGAGAAAGAGACCAGAGTTAGACCATTCATGTGTAGAATGCACTTCTGATTGGATTATAATGGAGCACAAACTCAACACGGTGTTGACAGCGGACGCCAGGATTGATGTCACACTTAGCAGCTACATTATAATCTCAAAATATGGATCATCGTCACTGTGACAAATTAACCTTCTAGAATATCGGCATGTAGCTCATTCATCATGGGACAGAATGGTGTCCATAGTGCAACCCACATCACACTGGTCCCACAGAGGATCAGGTGACGAGAGAGAGACCACAAAGACTACCCTGGAAGATCCAGAGAGGGCCCGCGATCCATTCGGAGAGACTAAAGAGAGATCAGTGAGAGAGACCAGAGAGAGTCTAAAGATAGATGAGAAAATGACCAGAGAGAGAGAGAGACTGAAAAGAGACCAGAGAGAGATCAGAGACCAGAGAGAGACCACATTACCCTGGTCCCTCAGAGGCTCGGGTGTCTGCCTCTCTGATACTAGTGGGTGAAAGTCTATCTGTGTGTTTACTTTCCGCAGACGCACTCCCAGCTCCAGTGAACACGCCACGGCGAGAGCCTATTTTTAACTCGCACCTGTTAATGACATTAAAGCCCCTAGAGAGGAGGGGGGAGGGGGAAGAGAGCGGGCGAGGGAATTGAGGAATCAACACCTCTAAAACCAGGGGCTAGTTAAGCGTGGTGCGATGGACACAGACCAGAGATTTGGTTTGGATTTAGAATCAATGTCTGAGCATGATGTGAAGCCAATAAGAAGAATGCACACAGGGACAAAGAAAGAAATCAGAAAGAGATCAAAGAAAAATCATGAGAGAGACCTGGACAGAAAAGTGAAAACGAGAGGGGAGAGGGCCTGAAGAGTCAAATAGTGACTCACAGGGCTTTGTGTTACAAGTCTCCTAACGAGATGAAGACAGCTTGATCCTTCAGGACCATCTGCAAAATTTCAGATCAGACAGAAAGCAGAGAGGGACCAAAGAGAGACCAAAGAGAGACCTGAGAGAGACCAGAGAGAGTCTAGAGAGAAGCCAGAGAGAGACTAGAACAGGGGTGGACTGGCTATCGGGCGTACCGGGCAATGCCCAAAGGGTCGATGCCCATATTTGGGCCTGTGAGCCGCATACAAAAAGATGTTTTTGAGAAATGTGTGTTCTGCATACTGTCAGAATAACTGTTAAAAAAAAAAACATCAAAAAAGAAACGGCCGGGCCGTCAAGAAGGCAAAAATGCCCGGAGAGTTTTTTGGTCCCAGTCCAGCCCTGGACTAGAGAGACCAGAGAGAGATGGGAGAATGTTCAAAGCTAGGCTAGAGAGAAATCAGAAAGAGACTAGCGAGAGACCAGAGGAACCAGAAAAAGAGACCAGAGAGGGACCAGAGAGAGACCCCTTCCATGCAACTACAGCCTCTGTCAGGAGCAGTGGTCGCCGTAGTAACAGTGGACCATCTCCAGATGTTGACGCACTGCAGGACTGGAGCTGGAGATTTTTACCTTTCTTACATGTTTTTACTGGAGAACCAGGAGAAACCCCACACAGACATTGGTAGAACTTGCCAACTCCACTCAGTATCTCTCAGTTAGACCAGAGGGGACACTGTTGTGTGTTTAAACCATCACTCAGGTTCAAAGAGAAGGTTCAAAGCTGCGAGTGATGAGCTGGTGTTGCGGAAGGATGTAAACACTTTAGAGATCCAGGTGAGCGTCTCTTTTCAAAGTATAAAAGAGATTAAAGAGATGTTTGAAAAAGAGCAGCAACAAATGTTTGAATGCATCTGAGACCCGGCTTAGATAAAGGCGCTGCGCAGACGTTGCAAAGAAATGAACATAAACGACCAGGCTCCTGTGCAGCATTTAGTTGATGTGTTAAAACGATGAAGTTCCAGTAGTGGCAGTAGTGAAGGACAGGGTTTTATTCCATGGATCTAAAAAATAGCTTTAAATGTTGTGGTTTCAATGTATTTGTAAATACATTGAAATTGACAACTGGGGCTGTAGATCCAGGACTGAGGCTGTAGATCCAGGACTGAGGCTGTAGACCCAGGACTGAGACTGTAGACCCAGGACTGGGGCTGTAGATCCAGGACTGAGGCTGTAGACCCAGGACTGAGGCTGTAGATCCAGGACTGAGGCTGTAGACCCAGGATTGAGACTGTAGACCTAGGACTGGGGCTGTAGATCCAGGACTGAGGCTGTAGACCCAGGACTGAGGCTGTAGACAGGTTAAAGTAAATTTAATAGCCTTTCCCTTAAAGAGGAGAGGAAAGACAATACAATACAAAACAATTTACTCTTGTGTAGCCCTAAATCACAACAGAAGTCATCTGAGAGGACTTAACAAAACCATTGAAATCACCAACACAATTCAAAAGAGGACAGTTACGTAGAGTACAATACACTGTAGAGCTGGAGGGTCATTGAGTACAACAGAAGACTGCATTCAGATGTGTCCTGCATTGAAATTTCTACTGGACAGTGCAAGGAGGAGAGAAGAGAGAGAAGAGAAGACAATGCATTCTGTCCAATGCATTGATCAATACATAGATAGTTCATAGAAAGAGAGAAAGAAAGGCTAAAGCGTAATGGAAACATAGGACACAGGGCTTTGACTTGTTTTTGTAAATGCTATAAATGTTTGAAAAGACTTTTTTGTGCTCGTTTGATATTTAAATACAAAAAAATTGTGTGTGTTGATGATGTGGACCACTGTCACAGACCACAGTGCAGTTTATCTCTTAGCCTCTGGGGGGCAGCAGTGAGTAAAGCTGCAAGCGCTGGATCTTGGAGTTGAACCCTGAACTTGGGCCTTGCAGTGAGCTCTGATGGGATTAGAGCAAAGAGGATTTCACAGGGATGTTCCAACTTCCTAAGACCACAACAACACAAGGAGAAACTCAGCAACACATGGAGGACCACAGAGTGTACTGGAAATCAAACCCACAACCACAGGAGAGAAGAGAGGATAAAAGAGAGGGGAGATAGTAGAGAGGGGAGGGGAGAGAGAGGAGGTAGGAGGGAAGCAAGAGCAGACAGAGGAGAAAGGAGAGAGAGCAGAGAAGAGAGAAGAGTGTTCCACAACCAGTTAAATAACATACTCAAGGAACCACTTTGTGTCTTAACAAACAATCTTACACCTCACTGAGTTTTGGCCAGTGTTAGTACAAGTTAGCATTCTAGCATTGCACCAATAGTTTCAATGTCTTTGTGCATCACCTTAAATAACAACAGCAGTCATGTAAAGGTTTACAAAGCGTTGAATTAATCAACAACAGATCAGAGAATCAAACAAGCTGGAACACAGGAAATGCAATAAAAACAAACATATAGAGACATTGGTCCATTTGGAGCAGGATGACGGAGACTGTAGATCTAGAACTGAGGCTGAAGATCCAGGACTGAGACTGTAGATCCAGGACTGAGGCTGTAGATCCAGGACTGAGGCTGAAGATCCAGGACTGAGGCTGTGGATTCAGGACTGAAGGTATAGATCCAGGACTGAGACCAGAAAAGCTGCGTAGAGAGTCAATTGTTCTGAGGTGGTCTAAGGACATGACTTCATAACAGGATTAGTAAAAGTCATCTTTAAAGACCATCAAATGTGTGTAGTCTTCTAAACCTCATGCTGAATCCATCTAGAGTGCTCCTCAGAGTCCCAGCAGGTGGCCAGTCCCTGTGCTCCTCAGAGTCCCAGCAGCAGGCCAGTCCCTTTGCTCCTCAGAGTGCCAACAGTGGACTTATATAATCAGCTTTTGGACCCTCTGTGGAGATTAGTCTCTGCTCAGAAACAATCTCAGGGCTAAGATAATGACCACACAGTCAACAAGACTTAGAAGAGAAGAGGAAACGTTCAAGATGGAGTCCCTGTGTTCCACCTCACATTCAGTTTATTTACCATCTGCAGTAAAACCACATTGGAATACATGTGCCCAGAATCCCCAGTCCCCAGTCCAGAGCACCAGACAAGAACATACATGAAACAAGATACCAGAAACAATCCTCACTGTGAAACCAATCAACAAAAACAGTTTTAATACAAGATCAAATTAAGTGCCCAGAGAGACCGAGGAGAGAGAGATCATTACGTAAAGAAGGTCTCTGAGACGACTGCTGCCTTGGTTTGGGGCCATAAACAAATACATTGAATCACAGTGGCAAACCCTCAATGCCTGCAAGGCTTTCTCTGCTGGCCTAAACATGATTATACAGTATATATATACAAAAAATGTGTCCACTCACCTTTGGCCCTCCGCGGGCGGTTATCCCTCTCTAAGCTCGGGTCCTCTACCAGAGGCCTGGGAGCTTGAGGGTTCTTTGCAGTATCTTTGCTGTTCCTAGCACTGCACATTTCTGGACCGAGATGTCCGAGGTTGTTCCAGGGATCCGCTGTAACCACTCCTCTAGCTTTGGGGTCACTGCCCCGAGTGCACCGATCACCACGGGCACTACTGTCACCTTTACCCTCCAGGCCCTCTCCAGCTCCTCTCTGAGACCTTGGTATTTCTCAAGCTTTTTATGTTCTTTTTTCCGGATTTTACCATCGCTTGGAATTGCCACGTCCACCACCACAGCTGTCCTCTGCCCTTTGTCTACCACCACGATGTCAGGTTGGTTCGCCATTACCAGTATCTGGAAGTCCCACAGGATCTTTGCACGCTCATTCTCCACCACCTTTGGAGGAGTTTCCCACTTAGACCTTGGAGTTTCCAGCCCATACTCTGCACAGATGTTTCTGTACACTATGCCAGCCACTTGGTTATGGCGTTCCATGTAGGCCTTCCCTGCCAGCATCTTGCACCCTGCAGTTATGTGTTGGATCGTCTCAGGTGCCTCTTTGCACAACCGACACCTTGGGTCTTGTCTGGTGTGGTATATCTGGGCCTCTATCACTCTGGTGCTCAGTGCCTGCTCCTGTGCAGCCATGATGAGTGCCTCTGTGCTGTCCTGTAGGCCAGCCCTTTCTAGCCATTGGTAGGACTTCTTGAGATCAGCCACTTCTGTTATGCTCCGGTGGTACATGCCGTGTAGGGGCTTGTTCTCCCATGATGGGCTCTCCTCCAGCACCTCCTCATCTCGCCACTGCCTGAGAAATTCACTGAGTACGTCATCCGTTTTGGCCTTCTCCATGATGTAGTTATGGAGTTTGGATGTTTCGTCCTGGACAGTGGCTCTCACACTCACTAGTCCTCGGCCTCCTTCTTTACGGCTTACTTACAGTCTCAGGGTGCTGGATTTGGGATGGAACCCGCCATGCATGGTAAGGAGCTTTCGAGTTTTAACATCCGTGGTCTGAATCTCTTCCTTTGGCCACCTGATTATTCCTGCAGGGTATCTGATCACTGGCAGGGCGTAGTTGTTAAATGCCCGGGCCTTGTTCTTGCCATTGAGCCGGCTTCTTAGGACCTGCCTTACTCACTGGAGGTATTTGGCAGTTGCCGCTTTCCTCGTCACCTGTTCGAGGTTGCCATTTGCCTGTGGTATACCGAGATACTTGTAACTGTCCTCAACGTCTGGTATTGTTCCCTCTGGGAGTGAGATCCCTTCTGTGTGGACTACCTTGCCTCTCTGAGTCACCATCCTGCTACATTTCTCGAGCCCGAATGACATCCCGATTTCATGGCTGTAGATCCTGGTTGTTTGGATCCTGGTTATATATATATATATATATATATATATATATATATATATATATATAATCTATATAATCTACTTATTATTATTTTCTCCTATGTTTATTTTTCTACAAACTACGTTGGTTGCGCAGCTTCCAACTTCAGGTCGACATTTAGCAGGTCTGGCCTCTCACAGAGTTTTTATCCAATCATTGCTCAGCGTCATGTGTTACTATGTCCCAGAATCTGCCTCATGTTGCCCCATCCAATACTTATATTGTAGTTGGACTTTCCCGCATTAATGCTCAAAACTGGGTCCTGAATGCTTGTGTTGCACTATGTTCTCAGAGTCATGTTCTCAGATATTGTCAAAGAGAGAGAAAGTTACGCATTGGGCACGAGTGCGTCATACGCGTGTGTGCAAACTACAACGATGTGCCTCCTGTCACCCCCTCCTGGGGGGAGATAAAATTTTGGAGATCATTAGGACATCTCT